ACCTGGCCGATCGACGGACCGTTTCGACGGCCGCCGTCGCCGATTTGGGCATGAAATTGAAAACATAAGAGCGGCCGGGATGGCGGTAATCGGTGCCGGAACGTCTCCGACGCGGCGGAGGCGGGGGTGGAGAGAAATGATCACCGCTCTGGGCCATTAGGCGCGCCGCTGTCGTCGCCGCCGCGGCGCGCTCGTCTGCGGTGCGCCACTGACGCGGCACATCGTTAATCAGTTGGCGGGCGGGCGCGGCGCGGCCGCCGAGGGCGGGTCACGCTGGGTCAGCTCGGCGGTCGGCCGGCGGCCGCTCTGAGCACACCCAATAAGCCGGCCGCCGCACGCCGGTCGCGCCGCACACCGCGGAACATAAATCCACCTCCTCATCGAACCAACTCGGACGCTGAATACAGAACGCCGAGATTTCGGCATAAATCGTCTGGCGCGGACGGCGTGTGCAGCTGGACGCGGTAGCCGGCGCCGGCGCGGCCGATGACCATAAATAGTAGCGTCCGCAATCAATTAGAGCAGCTCGTCGCGGCCCGGCGGCGGCGCGGAGCCACCCCGCCGGCCGACGCCGCGAAACTGGCCATAAACAGACGACGACGTTTATGGCCGGTGTCGGTTATGCATAAGTCGAGCTAATTTCGCGCGCCAGTTGGCTGACAGAGTGGCGCAGTGACCCCCCGGCGGGAGCGGGTCAACGCGGCGGGTCAGGTCATGGAGGCACGCGGAGACGCCGGCAAGGGACGGGAGCGACGGCGCCGTATACACAGACGGCCACACAGAACAATGAAGCGGGAAAGGTCTCAAAGCCGCAGTCTGCGGTTGACAATTTGCGAATTTTTATCACACTGCCGTTACTTCCTTACAAACTTGCACGACAGAAAACGGCTCCGGCGTCTTTTTGACAGTGAATGTGCAGTTCATTTAAATGAGCAAAACATTTGTAACGCTAAAAAACCGAGCGGGTTTTGACAAAGATCTTCATACCAGGTTCTTTCGGTAACTAATGGTTGAACGGTGCTCGTCAATTTGCATGACAATGTTCCAAACGTAAAAAGGGGAGGCCACGGGCCCGTGTCGACGGTGCTCCAGGTTTCTATTTCCCCGTCGGACAGTAATGAATGTTGGCCGACGGGTCGCGTTTGGCTATCCACGTGCGACGCAGTGCAATCGGCGGTACCGTAAAGTGGGGCTATTTGAGACAGTGGGGCTATTTGAGACAGTATTTAAAATCGCTATAAAATGAAGATCGTTTGATTTTTGTGTGATATATTTGCACAGGGAGGTGTGGAATCGAGCGGTAAATCGCCTGAGCAAAAAATTAAGCATGAATCTTAAGTGGTTTTTATTTTATAGCAATTTTAAATACTGTCTCAAATAGCCCCACTGTCTCAAATAGCCCCACCTTACGGTACATGAAGAGTGCCGGCCCGGCCCGTGAACCATTCAGCACCCGTGGAGCGGACGGTATCAGTGGCGCCGCGCCGGCGCGGTGCGGGGAGACGAGACATGAGTGCAGGAGCAGCGGAGCGCCGGAAGTCGGGCGCCAGGTGGCGGGGTGAGGCACGGATCATGAACTGAATGGTGAACAGAGCAGTGGCGAGCAGAGAGCACCAACAATAGGGACGACACACCCGCAGTGCCGGCGCCCGGCGGTGTGCCGCCCGCCGCAGTCGCCGGTGCTTACTCGTCACTGACGGCCCAAATAGATCGCCACTATAAACGGCCGGCTTTAAAAGGCCGCGTTTTATGCCCGGTGCTTGGCCGATCGGAATCACCGACAGCGGGGCACTGCACAGCTGGGAGATGGGGGCACGACCGGCCCGTTCCGGCCTCTGACGTGTTCGGTGACCTGGCCGCGCGGGTCGGCCGGCCGGCCGGTCACCATGGGCCATGCATCAGAGCGGCGCGGCGCGGCGCGGGAGGCCGCTCGTGTCGCCCCACGCGCCGCGCACGCGCCGCCGACAGCTGAATAGGCGGCCCGCCGAGCGCCGTGATGCCGCCGATTATCTGCCGCCGCGGCCGGCCCCGGTGACGCCGGCCGCTGATGAAGACGAGCGGCTCGGCGCCGCGCCGCGCCGATTGTGGCCCGCAGCTCGGCCGACGACCGGCCACCGCCAGTCATCGCCGCTCTCATAAATAACCGCGCTGCAGTCGGACGGTCGCCGCCGCACGCATACACAGCGCGCCGCGCCGCCGCTATCTCGGCCGCATCGGGCGCAGCTGGCGGCGGCGGCGGCCGCGGCGGACAGCCCGTCGGACGCAGCCGGGCGCCGACGACACCGGCCGACGCAGCGCGCTGAGACCGACCTCACACCGCGGCACCGTCCGCCGGTGACCTGACCGCCGCCCAGGGCGAGCTGCCAGGTCAGCGGCCATATCGGCCGGTCGGCGATAGCGGCGATACGGCGATACTGGCGGCGATAGCGCGGCGCCCCGCGGCGCGGCCCCTCCTGTCACTCGGCCGCCATTCAGCCGCTATGTAAATCATCCGACTTCACACAATACGACGGCGGCCGCGGTCGCATCTAAATAATGGTGGCGTCCGGCGCGCTCGGCGACAATAAGCCGATGGCCCGATAGCCGGCGTGACACCCTGGCGCCTATTAATCGGGCCCAGATCGGCGGCCGGCGGCGGCGGCGGCGGCGCGAGCTCAGTGGACCAGAGACAGCCACCGCCGCCGACCGGCCAACAACAGCCCCGTCCGGCCGCACACACTCCGGTACCGACCCACTTCATTACAATGTAATTTGCCGGCGTGCGCCGCCGCTCGGCACGCCCTGGAAATTAAACGGCGCGTTATGGATGAGAGAAGCAATCGGCGCTGGTTCGTCAGCCATCGATCAGAGGCGCGTCGGCGGTCCGGAGACTGAGTCTGGCCGGCCGGTGGGGGACGACGGGGAGCCGCCGGTCACGGACGCCACACAGGGTCACGGCGGGTCACGGGACGGACAAGGAGAGGAGAGGACAGGCACAGTGGACTGGGGGAAGACTGAGCTGGAATAGGGCAGCCAACAGCGGCAGAAGCCAACTGAGAATGCCGGGCTGTGATATGGAGCCCGGATATAATTTATGATGAACCAGGAGAACAGACGATTTGACATCGAATAGGGAAACACAAATACAAATTTGGAAAGCGATGGAAAATTAAAAGACAGGAGAAGAAATAAAGGTACAAGCCAAGATAATCACATAGCTCCGCATTAAAAGAACGCCTGGCTTTCAGTCAGTGATCTCTCTCCCTGCGATGTCGGTAACAGGTGACGGGAGGCACAAAAAGACCGACGACACGGCAGTGACGGCAGCGGCCCGACCACGCGTAACGACGGACCGCGATAGGACACGAATAACCGGTGCAAAAACGTGACGAGACGTGTCGGGCGGCGCGACTTTGCGTAACAGGTGTGCGGGCGGGCTGGCCGAACAAGAAGTGGAAGTCGTCCCTCATGCACGACAATGGGGGTGGACAGGCGGCGGAGGTGTGCGCTCGGGTGGATTTCAGGGGGACCCGGCAGCAGCTCGGAGTTCTGTAGAACGGTGACACTGGGCGGAGGCAGTACGATCTGACCAAGGCAGTCCGTCAGTCTGTCAGTCTGTCCGAATGGGACCCCGCTCGGCGGCGGGCGGGGGCGGCAGCGGCGGGCGGGGGCGGCGGCGGCTGACCCTGGGTCCCTGAGCGGCTCGGTTCGGCGCTCGGTCGCCATCCATCATTGATTACACGACCAATTAGTGGTGCGGTGCTGTGGGCGGGCCGGGCCGGCGGCGGCGGCGGATCCAGAACCGAGGGTCCCGGCTCGACGCTCGCGCCGCCGCCGACCTGACCTGGCGCCCGCCGCCCGCGGCCCATCGGGCCACCCGCCGGCGGCCGCTGGCACCACTGGTGAGCTACCAGCGCGCGCAGACCACCGTTCGACTAGATGGTGCGGCAGCGGCCGGGGCGGCGCGGGGCGGCCGGCAGGGTACGCAGGTGTCCCCTCCAGCGCATCCTTCCCCGGGTGGCCTTCTAAACCCGCTCCACCCGCTCCCTCCCAACCCGACCATTTCGGAAACTACCCGTCCCTCCGCCCTCCACCCACCGACCTCCCGGCCGGCGCGACCACCGGGCGAGGAGCGCTTCTCCGGCGAGAGGGACCCAGACCGTGGACGGACACGAGCGCCGCGCGGACCCCAGCCCGACGGCAGAGGCAGCACCTGCGCTGGTTGACCCGCTTTGAGTTACCCACTCGTGTGTGTGTGGTTAATGCCTTATCAAAGGTAGACGTGATAACAACGGTGAGGCTCTTGGTTAGGCATCCGGCCTCTGTGGAGACAAGCACAGCTGTCTCCTCCCTCCCTTTTCCCCTCCCCTGCAATCTTCAGGCAGCCGAACAGCCGACTCGCCAACGACAGAAGCACGGTGCACGGTGCAAAAGCGTCAGCCTGCGACACACCCGTGCACAGCTCACACAAGCAGACACACACAGACACGCAGACAAGCACGGGCAGACACCCAGATCGGAGAAGACTGACGGGCGAAGGCGGCGACCGTCGGAGGCATGCGGGAGCAGCACGTCAAGGCACAGAGCGGCGACTCGTCTGGCTCTACAGCTAGGCCCGTCCGTCCGCCGGACGACGGCGGGTGGAGGAGGAAGAGGCGGGCGCGGCCCCATGCGGTGCGGTGCGGGCCGCGCGGCCCACCAGCCCCCTACCGACACACGCTCGGCAGGCTGCCGTGGCCGCCCATACCAGAGAGCATCTGGCCGGGCGGCGGCGACAGCAGCGGGCTGTGCGGCGGCATGGGGCTGTGCGGCGGCAGCGGCGCGTGGCCCAGCGGCACGTGCGACACGTGCGACGGCGACGGCTGGCTGCCGTGCGCCACGTGCTGTGCGCCCGGGTGCGGCGTGGGCGGCGGCGGCGGCACGTGCCAGCCGTGGTGCGGCGACATGGCCGCCGGGTACGGCTGGTGGTACTGGTGGTGCGCCCCGCCGCCCACGCCCACACCGTACATCATCTGCCTTACTTTCTGCTCGTCTTCGTTGATGTTGTAGCAGAGCTCAGTCTCCTCGAAGCCGGTGGCCGACATGCGCTGATCGCCGGTGCCGGGCGCCGACGCCGACGGGTCCGGCGAGTTGAGGCACGTCTGGATCAGCGCCTTGCCCGCCTCGGAGGTGATCATGGGCTGCAATTTACGTGTGGCGAACGTGTAGACGTGGCCAGTCTCTGAGGCCACGAGGAGCATCACCTGGGTGCCCGTCAGAGTGGACAGCTCGTAGGCCTGCGGGCACACAGACAGGGAAACGGTCAGACATCGGCTAACAGACACTAGAGTAGATACACTGACATCAGACGAAGAGAATACACGGGACAAATACTATGGGTTAATGTTAGGTGTTTGCTTTATTGGGATTTCATGGCGCCCCAAAGGCAGTGGTTAATTTGCGCCCCAAATGTTTGGTAGATATCCCTAAACAAAAAAAAAAAAAAAAAAACGTTGTTCACTGATACCAGACCCGGATATAAAAAGGCATGTGTTTAATTTGGCGAAAGGGTTTTGATCTTGCCTAGATCAGGCGCCACCCGGCTGCCCGCGCACGATCTTCGGACTGCCCCGTCTGAGAACGCCAGCATGTCGTGCGAGTGGGTGAAGATGCTGCCGATATCGTCCACCAGGAAAATGTATTCCAAAGTGAGAGTGGCGCCCGCCTCGACGAACAGGACTTCAAACTTTCGGCTACAAGAATGTCATTCCCCCATCGGCCCTGAATCGACTACAGTGTTACAGTATTATGCAGCTCAGAGCACCAGTTTCTGCCGCGCGGGCGGCGGCGGCGGCGGTGGAGAGGGAGAGTGCGTCACTTATGATTCCCGACCAGCACCGGCTCGGGCGCCTTCCGTGCTAATCCCCGCCAGGTGCGTGTGTGCGCCGGTCCGCGCAGCTGGGTTAATCTGTCACGGTGATCGCCCAGGCAGAGCAGAGCGGCACCCGCCCTCGGAGTCCGACCAGCCCGTCCCGTCTCCGGCTCCGTCTCCGGCCCAGATGAGTCGCGCGATAACCACCGATCCCCGGCCCTCCACCGCGGCTCGCGCCGACCCTGACACACTGGTTACGCATATGCGTGCAGCGGCGCTCCCGCCCCGCCGGCCGATCCGACAATCCGACCCGAAAACCCGCCTCAACCGGTGCAGCAGCCGCATAATATCCGACCTACCAGCCGGCCGCCAATGCCACGCGTGAAAGCGAGAATCCATCGAGTTCTTATATGGACGAAACGGGCCGGTCCGAACCAAAAATGATGGCCCGACAGCGACCGATAGGGGAGCAAGGACGGCGCCTCTGGAACGGTAGCGGGCACGTGCCACCGCCTAGAGACGGAAGAGCGCCCCAAAAGGCAGCTCGGTGTAAGGGTGACGATGGTAGAGGCGGAAAAGAAAACAGCTGGGGAAGAAAGGGACTGAGTGGGACTGTCTGCCGACTACAGAAGACAGTAAGCTAGTGGATTAGATCGAAAGCAGCGATAAAGTGATAGCAGGTCAGGGCCGAAGGAATCGGCCAAGGCAGGTTGGGAGTAACACCAGATCGGGAGCCGGGTACGAGTCAAAGTGGGGAAACTTGGGTGCGTAACATAGGTATCCCGTAACGGGGGCATCTTGGAAATAGTCTTGGGTAACCTGGGTCTGGACAGCACTGCAGCCGGCCTGGTCAGTAAGTTGTAACAGACACCTCAGGGAGCTGACGAAGCCGCCGAGCCGTGGGTGGCAGAGCCCAGGAGCCACGAAGCTGGCGGAGTCGGAGCACGGGTGCCAGAGCTGGGGGGCTGGCAGAGGCGAGTAGCTGGCAGAGAAGGGTACAGATGGGAGCTGCTCGCGGTGTCCCCGGCCACGTGTGACGGACGGCCGACAGTGGCCGCAGCCGCGGGGGACCGACACCGGAGAGTGGCCGGTGACGGACGGCCGTGTCGGCAGCGGACCGACACCGGAGCCGGCCGCCGCCGCCGTCTGTCCCCGTCCATGTCGCCGGGTCAGTCACTGCACACCGCGGAGGACGCCAGTCACTGCCGACAACGGCTGCTCTCTGTTCTCTGCGGCTGTTCTTGCCCTACGTCCACCATACACCCGACACCGCAGTGAACGTCAGTCACCGGTCTGCCCTCTGTCCTCTGCCTACCGTCCACCCATTACAGCCAGCGCGGCGTCGGCAGCGTCCACTGCACACAGATCCGCAGCTGCCGTCAGTCACCGAGGATCGCCCACCGGCTGTCCACCGTCCACTATCCACCGACAGTCGACACCCACCTACCCTCCTCTCAGCTCCGCCAGACCCTGACGATAGTTGACATCCCTCCGACACACCCCATTGATCACAGCTGCTCAGCGGGACCATCTCTTGTTCCCCTCCGACCCGACGGCCGACATCATGCCCGGACGGCCGCGGCTGCCGTTACCCAGCTGAGATATCCAGGTGCCGGTAACCGAGCATCCATTCACTGTCATCACTGTCGTCAACACCCTGACAGGATCCTCACCACTGTATGGTAGCTGCCACGGCCAGCGAAACCCCGTGTTGTTCAGCATAGCCAGATAGCTCGTTCAGTCTCTCGCCTGTCATAGAGCAACGGTTCACCGGGGTTCAGAAACAACAAGTAACATCGAACTGCTGGTGCAACTGGTGCCGAAGCATCCGCTCCGTGTTTAAACGGCTCGGGAAAGGGTGTCAATCAACAGCATCGAACCAAACACGGCGCGGGGCTCCTCAGCAGCGGGTCCCCGGAGGCCGCAGCTCCAATCGGGACAATGCAAAACAAAGCAGCGACATGCATGTGACGACACTCGATCTGGTGATACCCCAGGATGTGGCGAGCTGACCGCAGTGACCACCTGTGACCAAAGCGGGCCACAGTTGCGTGACAGGCCACCGCGGCGGGTCAGCCCAGGTCAGGGCGTGGGCGAACGCCGGTCTTCAGCGCACTGCCCACTCCAAAAGCCCTCCCGCAAAAACGCCACCAAATGCCAGCGATGTCCACCCACGGTCCACAGAACAGGAAACCCGGTCCGTCCGGCGCACCGCAAATCAAACCTGCTCGTCTGGCCCCCCATTAGCCTCCCAAAAAGCGCAGACGGCTTTTTGACGCGATGTCAGCGCCCGATGGGTTTTTCCTTGGTGGAGGTCCCGCCCAACACGCACATGATGACCGTGCGAGCCAGGCGAGGCTCGGAGTCAAAGGTGACATACTCCAGACCTAGCACGTGGGTAGCACCCCATGTGACCATCGGGCTATACTAAAACATCGTTTGTGACCTGATGTGACCCTGTTGAACAGACAATGACGGCCGCAACTGATTTGGGAGCTTCGGACGCCCAGACTGCAGATGTCCTCAGCGCCTATCCACGTATGACATCACCTCGCACCACCGGGCCGGCATCACCGGCTCATTGGCAGCACCCCGGCAGATGCTGGCCGCTGTCTGCGGACAACGAGGCGACAACACGTCGCCGGACACGGTCCGCGGACATGAGGTGAGCACTAAGCAGCCAGAGGGCAGCGTCCGATCGCAGTCGGCGCCGATCCGATCGGAGGGGTACCCGACAGCCGGCGCGTCCCACCCGCCGCCGGGCCGAGATCGTGTCAGCCGCCGCGGAACCGCTGTTCTCCTGACGGCTACCAGCACTAGTGAGCTCCGCCGGCAGGCCGCGCCACGCAAGCCGACTTTCTCGGCGAATACATTTGCCCGGTATTTGCATGTTAACAGCGCCGGGTACGCGGCCAGTTTGGATCAGCACCGTGTGCCGGAGAATGACGAGCGGACCAGCTCCCGGAAACGAGCCACTGGAAATTCACCACATAGCTAATGAAGCGCCGCGCACAGCCTGAATCCCAATCACAGACACCACGTGTTGACAATGCACAATAAATGAGACACAAATTCATTGATGGTTGTCCATTGTTATACGAGCAGACTAGTCACCAAACCAAATAAAAACAACACCATGAGGAGGGCAAACCGAGAAGAAAGGTAATTGATGATGTTTGAATAAATCGCACCAATGCAAGTTCGTGGCCAAATTCACCAAAGATTGATTCCTAATTATGTGTTCGATGACTGGATATCGTAAAAAACTATAAGGCTGCGCAAAGAATGGCTGATTCGTCGGAGCTGTGGAATCATGTCCGAGGTGTTTGCTGTCTGTCATTGTTCGCATTCTCCGTCAGCGTTATCGGCGAGCATATCTAAACATAGCACCTATACAATGACACGACTTAGACCAGTGAGTCTGCTTCGCTTGTAGACATCGTTTAAGACGGTCTGAACAGCAAAAAAGTCGCCATGCTCCTTTCACAGTGAGTTAGTCGGTAACAGCGATCACAATAGGCTCGGTCTTTGTGGTGATAGCAGGGAAGAACATGCGTCTAAAGTAATATCCGGTCGTTCGTCACGCGGTTATCTATAAGCGACGTGTTCTGAAGCGGCCACCGATCACAGCGATAAAGGAAATATATGTTATCCGCCAGTGGCGCAGCCAGGATTTGGTTTCGGGGGGTCTTTGCCTCCAAAGCGGGCCCCCTAGTGTGCGGGCCCCCACCCATTTTTCAGAATCTTTCCATATTTCATATGCATTCTGCTGAGCGGGCCCCCTTTACCTACACGATAACCCTGAACGAGTTTGAATCGGAAAATTTTGATAGAACGGTATAGCTCCGTATAGCAGTATACAGTAACGGTATAGCAGATAGCAGTAACGGCATAGCAGAATAGCTCGGTAATCACCCGGTGTTCAATTTCTACGCGAATTGACCATGATAGAAATATGTTACTACAGGGTCTTTCATAATGAATGTTACTTTTGAAAGAGCTATTTCTCAGGACATATATGTTCCTCATGTAATATGTACCATCACATGGAACAGAAACACATTAGCGTTTTTGCACACACAACTTTCATTTTAATGCTCCTCAGGAATTTTCCACTGTATCGCCCTTAATTAAGGCACACGTTTCGGCCCTCTGACGAAGGTGTCGCACCCCGCGCCTCACAACGTCTGGGTTCAGGCTTCCAGCAAACCTCTCCACTGTGGTTCGCAGTGGATGGCTGCAGGAGGGTTTTGTCTCAGATCTGCCAATGCGACTCCCCAAAACCAGTAGTCCAGCGGGAGAGGTCAGGACTCCGTGGTGGCCATGGTCGCTCGGTGAGGTGGCTGATAACGCGCTCTTCCAATTTTTCGATCAGCCACTGGCGCAACAGCTGCCGTGGTGCGCACTGTGGCACCATCCTGCTGG